GATGGTCTGAAGCATAAACTCACGCCTCAGTCATAAGGAAACGTGTGTGGAAAAATTCCATGATCTCTTTCTTAATTCCCTTTTCCCAAGCACCTTTGAAGTCTCTCATACCACCATCAAGCCAGTTCCAAGTACTTGCAACTCTATAGAGCAGAGTAGAGCTGCTCCCAGTGTTTCCAAGGCTATTCATCTTCACGGAAGCAGGTTACCTTATCTTTGTCTCATCTCGCTCCCTTGGAGTGGCTGATGGATGGGCACCTCAGAGCCTGTGGTTAGCAGCCCAGTGCCGAACTCTCCACACCACCAGGGCCACGGCTCCTTTCCAGGTAGACTAAACCACACCCTGCATCCAGTCAGCTCTGACTCACAGAGCCTGTAAGCCAGAGAGCTGCTCCCTAGGGTTCTGAGGCTATCAGCTTGAGGGAAGCAGACAACCTCATCTTGCCTCCGTTGACCTTGTGGCTAGCTAGCCAGTGCTTAACCCACAGTGCCACCAGTATGCGCCCTTCTATTAAATCACCCTCCCAGGGAGGGCCTCCACTTTGTCTCTCGATGTCGCAGAGGTCACCGGAGCCCAAAGTCCAGGTCACGGTGCGCAGGAAACCGCCCTTCAGGGGAGAACCAGTTGTAGATGCTGAGACCACACTTACCTTGACTTTTATTTCTTAGTGTTTGCCCTCTGAAGATTCCAGACTTCGTTTTTGTTGTTGTTTTGTTTTACCAACTTAAGGATGCATTGGACAAGATTTTGTAGTATTTTCTTAGCATTTTCCATTGTTTGTGGTGGGAAGGTCTCTCAGGGTACCCAACCGACTACAGAGAGATGTTGACTGGATCCATATGGCTGCAGAATATCCAGGCACCTGTGATTCTGTGTCCTGGTCAGACACACACTGGAGTCTGAGGGGTGCCCAGAAGACTGAAGGGCCAGCTGGTGAACTGTACAAGGCTCCTAGCCCAAGCCTCACACACGCATGGCCAGTGAGGAAGGACCTGGAGGAGGCTAGGACAAGCAGGGCAGTGGCTGCTTGGACTCTAGGTGGCTGTGGGCACAGGGACAAGGTATAAGCTCCCAGCAGCCCAAGAAGAACTGACCCTCCTCCCATGACTGGGATTTGGCAGGTGCTGACTGGGCCCCCATGGGCTGTGGGCAGATCTCTGCCAGCGGACTGGCCATTTGCATGTACATTCCTGCCTTGAAGGGAGCAAAGAGGCGGCCTGGGGTATCTGCAGCGACTGCTCTGCATGCACCTGGGTGGGGGCAGCGTGGTGCTGACCATCCATCCTGGGCCTCTGAGGGCTTCCCTCCTGCCGCCGTCTGTGATGTGGCACAGAGGGGCACTGTCGCGGTCCACTGGCAGGCCTAGGCCAGGGGTCTTCAGGAATTCTTGGGCTACCTTTGAGAAGGCTGCCAGGTGGAAGCACTCATGTCAGGTGAGCTCTCCTGTTAGGGTTTGGGACCTTTCAGAGTGCTGTGGGGCTGCTGCATTCCACTGAGAGAAGATGCAGCCGGCAGCCCAGTGGTGCGCCTGACACTGCAGCGTGCCTCTTGCACAAGGCGGCTGCAGCCTCTATGCACAGGGCGGGCCTGGGGCCAGAGTAGATAGGATAATGCGATTACGCTCAATTAGATTAATAAAGAATAATTAGATGTCATAAATCAAGGAAGTGTAGGATATTGTCATGGGAGAAATATGCAGCTAGAATTAATTAGTTTTCAAATCGGGCATTTATTTTAATTGCTTGAAATGATGGAGCCCTTAATTGCTGCTGCCTCATGTTGGCCGGAGCAGTTTGGTGGTTGTAACGTGACGGGTTTGTTCCCTACAGTTCTGGGAAAACAATAGTGAAGATGCTGATTGCATCAGCTCTGGCCCAGCCTGCTGCAGGGGAGACTCTGGAAACTCCCACCAGGCTGCAGGCAGGTGGCAAGTGCGGGCCAGGTTTCCCTAGCACTTGCCCCAGGCTCCTGTGCTGCCTGTAGGTGCACACTTGTGTGCGTATACCTGTGTTTTGTCTACATGTACGTGCATGTGTGTGCCTACGCATGTCTGCTGGTTAGTGTATGTGCGCACATATGATTAAATGTGTGCGTGTATCTGTGTGCTCCTGCACATACGAGTGTGTATGCACCTGTACGGGGGAGAGTACTTGTCAGTGTGTGAGTGTGAATGGTTGTGCATGTGTTTATGGTTGTGTGTGTGCGTGTGTGTAGATATGCATGTGCATGTGTGGGTGCATATATGTGCAACAGCATGTGCATTGGTGCACGTGTGAGTGGGCATGTGAGCATTTGTGTGCAGGTATGTGTCAATGTGTGTATGCCTGTGTGTGCATATGTGGGCCTGTGAGTATATGTGTATGCATGTACATGTGTGTAGGTGACTGGGGGGGGCAGTATGTGGGTCTCATCTGCAGGCTCCCCCTCGGGGTGATTTCCTGGGGGCTGAAGTGCCATAGCTGGGTCTGTATCGGTGGAGTTCCCAGGAGCACGACCTTGGGGGATCTTCTCATAGCCTGCTGGCCTGCAGGCCCCAGTGTTTTTAGTTCTGAGAGCCTTCTGCTCCAGTCCTACTGCCCCCACCACTTGTGGGAGAAAGGGTCTGCTCTGTAGTCACAGCAGAGAGGCAGGAGGACCTGGAAGTGGTGAGTGTAGCTGAAGGGGTTCCCTGGACAGGTACCCAATGGGAGAACACACACACTCTCTCTCTCTCTCTCTCTCTCTCTCTCTCTCTCTCTCTCTGCACCCTAGGTATGCCTCAGCCTTGGCATAGAGCTCCTCCCACGCTGGCCTCCCTCCATAGGATCCTGCCTGGCTCCTCAGCCACTGACTCTGTCACTGTCTCCCAGGCCTCCGGTTATTATGGGTGGGTAGCCAGCCTCCCGGTGTCCCTGTGGTTCCTCCCTCAGCGAGTTGGCAGATAGCATGCATGGGACCTGCAGTGTCCTTGGCTGTTAAAAGGACGGGTCTTACCAGGAGGATGGTGGGGACACTTGCTTGTGAGGTGTCTGGACTCCAACAGGCCAGAAGAGCATGGCTGACCATTGAGGAACAGGGTCGGTAAAGGGGGCCCCCTGGAGAGTGCCTCGGTGGGTGAATTGCTCCCCTTTCTGGAAAAAGAGAGATTTAATCCAAGGAGCCCTGGGTGGCGTTAAGCATGGGGCTGCTAACTGAAAGGTCAGCAGTTCGAATTCACCAGTCAACCCCTAGAACAGTGGTTCTCAACCTGTGGGTCTTGACCCCTTTGGGGGTCGAATGATCCTTTCACAGGGGTCATCCGATTCATAACAGCAAAATGACAGTTATGAAGTAGCAACGAAAATAATTTTGTGGTTGGGGGGTGGGGGGTCACCACAACATGAGGAACTGTATGAAAGGGTCGCGGCATGAGGAAGGTTGAGAATCACTGCTCGAGAAGAAAGAGGAGGCTGTCTGCCCGCCCGCCCCTGTAGCGAGTGGCAACTTTGGAAACCCGAAGGAGCAGTTCTCCTCTCTGTCTCAGAGTGACCCTGCCAGCTGTGCTCTGTTGCGATTTTAACTACTTCAAGGAGCCCTGGTGACCAGTGGGGGAACATTGAGCTGCTAACTGCAAGGTCAGTGGTTCCACTCCACCAGCCGTCTGTGGGAGAAAGAGGAGGCTCCCTGCTCCCTGAAAGATTGACAGTTTCAAAGCCCCAAAGGAAGCAGTTCCACTCTTTCCCGCAGGGTCGCTCTGAGCAGGAGTTTGGGGGGCAGCTGGTGTTTGTTCTGCCCGCCTCCTGTTCAGGGGGCCACACAGTACAGGTGCTCAGAGCAGAGGGCCTGACCATACAGCCTCCAGCAGGCAGACTTGGGCGGCCCCCGCATGTGATAACAGGCACATAGCCAATGGCAGGGCCCCTGCCTGGAGTCTGCAGACCAACAGGCCGTATTTTCTGGTGCACACAGGCAGTACAATGGTGGCAATTTCACAGATGCCACCAACAAATGGGCCATTGATGGGGCATAACCCCTTTGAGCGGTTCCCTTGGTGAGACTATCATCCCAAGGGGGCCCTAGCCTCAGGCCATTGACCCCACTCAGGAGTCACAGCCTGGCCTGCTGCCTGCCACACCTCCTTTTTCTGTAGATTGACCGGAAGACCTCCAGGCAGGGCTAGGAGAAGTGGTGCTCCAGGTGACCATGGGACAGGAGATTGGGATAGCCCCATGGGTGCCTGCTGGCCCCAGGGCTCCTGAGGCAGGGGCCGGCCCTGTCTGTCCTGAGTGGGAACCCATCACCACACCAGCCGCTTGGTATCTTGGTCCTAAGGCACCACCAGCTGGGGGACTTAGAGTCGGCTTCCTGGACCTACTCATACCTGTCTTTTTGTGCCACCTCCTTATGGGGTGAGTGGTCATAGAAATTAGAATTAGAAATGATAGAGGTCCAGTCCTGGGGCCTACAGTGAGTGACAATTACTGCAAAGATGTGGCCAGGGACCACCCAGAACCCCGAACCTTCATTTGCTTATCTGTTCAGCATTTACAGAGGAGCAGGCCACCATGCCCAGTTCTGAGCTCATACTTGGGGTGCAGGGTGCGGGGCTCAGGGCAGCACTCCAGGGAGGCCAGGAATGGGTTCTCAGAGGGGAGACAACAGGGTCTCCTGGGAGGACTCAACCCAGGAAGCTAGCCCTGGGGCCAGTTTGGGAAGATGCCGACCCTGCTGGTAGACCAGGTGTTGGAGTAGCCAGAGCCCATTGGGGGTGTCAGGGGACCCAGAGGTGTAGCCAGGGTCCTGCCAACAGTGCAGAAGTGGGCAGAGTGGAGGCGGCCTGAGGGAGGGCGGTGGCCAGTGAGCTCATCCAGCCAAAGAAGCGGGCGCTAGCAAAGACAGGGCCCCGTGGGGTCAGCCAGGGCCTACTGCTCACCCAGCAGAGAGGGCTTCCCTGTAACCTGAGGTGGCAGAGGGCCACTCTGGCTGAGATGACCTTCCTGGAGGACAAGAGGGGTCACTCACGCCTTTCCTTTGTCCCCAGGCACCTGCGCCAGCTTTTCCAAGCAGCATGGCAACTCCCAGCCTGCCCCCACCAGACCCCCAGTTTGTGCTCCGAGGCACCCAGGCGGCCATCCATGCACTGCATTTCTGCAGAGGGACCCCGGCTCAGGGACACCCACTCCTCCTTTCAGGGTGAGTAGCCGTTGGGAGCTCAGCCCCAGATGCTAGAAGGAGACAGAGTGCACCGCCGTGGCAGGGGGCTCCAGCTGCCCCCAGATTCCACTTTCCTTCAGTGTCCTTCACGCCTCACACCCCAGGTGGGGAGCATGCCCTCTCTGTTATAGGTGCTACCTGGCCCAGCGACTGTGCCACTGGGGCTGGCTCACCCCATCACTCTCCCAGGCCAGCCTGAGCCCATTCAGTTTATTATTGCCACTCCAACCAACTCCTAGAAGCCAAGCTGGACTCCCCATTTCCTAGGGCTCACCTGAAGGCTCACACTTCCTAAAACCTGGGACTAGAGGCTCCTGGGGGTCCCCCAGCCTCCCTCTGGAAGGTGATGCCCAGCTAGCCTCCCCCCGAGCTCTCCTCTAAACGACCAGCTGGAGCCTCCAGTCCCCACTGACCTGTGTCTACTCATGTCTGACCCAGGTCTATGAGCGGCCTCGTGCACATCTGGAGCCTGCAGACGCGGAGGGCATTGGCCACCCTGGATGGCCACAGGGGCCAGTGTGTGACCTGGCTGCAGATGTTGCCCCATGGGCACCAGCTTCTCAGGTGGGTTTTGGCCGCTGCAGCATGCTGCTCACCTGTCTGATGACTCATGGGGTTCTGAAAGCACCACATTGGGCCTCTTGTTGAGGCCAAAGTCTTGGATGGAGGGAGACCCATGGCTGCCAGGATAGGCTGATGTTCCCCAGTGGGGGACAGGTGTGGCCAGAATGGGAGGCAGTTAAAAGCCATAGCATATCCCTCTGCAGTCACTCCTCCAGCAGTTTCCTGGGGCCCAGGACTGGCCTTGGTTTATGTTTGGCCCTGCAGGGACTGTTATACTCCCCTCCACCACCCACCCCCTGCCACACCTGTCCTCCATCCTCCTAAACTTTGCTGGTTATGTAGGTGTCCAGCCTCCACCATCATCACCATCTCTTCTTCCTAGGGTCTAGGCCGGTTCCCTGCACTGCTCAGTTACCCTGGTGGGCAGGGGACCTGAAGGGATGGAGCTGCACATCTAGGTGGGAGATGCAAAGAGGCAGATGGGAGCCTGGAGAGGGGCCATGACACCTGTGCTGAGGGGAAGCAGAGATTGGGGGCTTTGGGGCAGAGGGCTCAAAGCAGATGGTGTTTCTAAATGCTCCCATGGGACTGTGCTGTGTGGAAACACTCTCACCAAATTTTCTACCAAGGTGTATGCTCTCCGGGGACATGTAACTGCTCACCTCCTGGGCACCCCCTCAGCAGGTGCCAGCCAGGCCCTGGGGCTCTCTCCTCTAAAGAGCCTGGCCAGGTGAGGGTGTGGTCTGCCTCCGTGCAGCACAGGTGATCCCCTGCCCCCAGTGCTACCTGTGAGGTGGGGTTCTATAGCTGTTTGGCTTGCTTAGGTACATTGGTGCTGCGCTAGAAACCCCGTGGCCCAGCCCTGTAATGCTCAGTTGCATTCAGAAAGCACCCTTCCTCAGGTGACCACTTCGAGGTGTGCTTGCACCTTGGTCTCACCCAGCCTGTGGACAGCGTCCCTCACCCCGGCCTCACCCGTGAGGGCACACTTGTCCCAGCAAAAGCTGTGTGGGAGCAGCTTTTAAACTTCTCTATTGTGGCCTGGCCCATACTCGTGGAACAACATACAGAACAAACACACAGATGGTCCTGGTGTCGGCGAGTGGACCCCTGTATACTCAGCCCCTGGTCCCATGATGAGCATTGCCCTTGTCTGAACTTGAAACCCTCCAAGGTGCTGACTCATTCCGCTCCCGTCACTTCCTTAAACTTAAAATGTGGGACCATATCTCTACCTCTTCCATGATAGCAAAAGATGGGCATGACCCAGGTGCCCATCAACAGACAAATGACTAAGGAGCATGTGACCTGGACATACACTGCCAACAAGTTGATTCCAACTCAGTGACCCTAAAGGACAGAGTAGGACTCGCCTCTAGGGTTTCTGAGTCTGAACATCTTTACAGAACAGACAACCTCACCCTTCTCCCACTGAGTGGCTGGTGGACTCAAACTGCTGACCATGTGGTTAGCAACCTAACACATAACCTGCTATGCTACCAGGCCTCCTTCAGTGGAAATACTACTTAGCTGTAAAAAATGAGTTCCCCAAATACCTTATGTTTAGGATGAACCTGACCATGAACATGGTATGTTGAGCACAATAAGGCAGTCACATTAAAAACCTAAATTTTGTATGATAGTTTCAAAATTTTGTGAGATAACTCCATGATCTTTGAATTATATTATTCCATGAGCATTTTGAAACCTTCTCTAATGTCCCTGCTTTTATGAAACGGGGGGCCCTAGTGGCATGCTGGGTTAAGTGCTGGGCTGATAACTGCAAGGTTGGTGGTTCACCTCCACCAGCCACTCCTTGGGAGAAGGACGAAGCTGTCTGCTCCCTGTAGAGCGGTTCTGCTCTGTCCTGAAAGGGTTGCTCTGAGCCGGCATTGCAGACGCTGTTGGATACATAATCCTCAGTCGCATTAAGAACAGTCATCTATGAGTGGGCACATTTAACAGATGGAGGAAGACAAGCAGTATTATACCCATGAATATAAATATTGATTTCTATAGGCTTGATGGATCTATTTCTACTTAGGTTTTTATATGTACTGCTATAAACATATCCATCAATACAGTAGTGCATACAGAGAGCCAAATTACAGCTTCTTAGCTGTACCAGACATCTGGAGGGCATGACTGGCCAGGTTTGGGAGCTTAGGACCATAGAGACTTGGGGCCAGCAAGGTCAATTGGCCTAACAGTAAGGTGCCCAGATGTCCCGCTTTTGGCGGGACAGTCCCGATTTTGAACAATTTTTCCCATGTCCCGTGGCGTTTTTTTAAAAGTCCCGATTTTTGGAAAGAATGCACGACAAGCTAAGGTATACAGTTTTCGGCTGCCCTGTGGCTATTTCGCCAGGATATGAGTTTTATCAATGGTGTCCCGCTTTTGTCCTTCTTTACCAATGTTGAAAACTGGTCACCTTACCTAACAGTCCCACGTAGTGCACAACGCAGTAGCTCAACTTTCAGCCCAAGAGTACAAGGCTGCAAGGTGAACAGTGGTGCCAGGGAGCCCGGTACTCCTTCGAACAGTCAACAGCATTTGCCCAGGGAGAAAGTCCAGAGGCAGGAAAGGGGAAAGAAGGAAGGAGGAACGGCAGTGGAAAGAGGGATCCGACTATGGGGATTGTAGTCAAGGGAGGAGTGAACAGTTGAGTGGCAAATGAAAAAAACTTCAATGGGAAGAAGCAGGATTCCTCAGAGCAATGGCTGATTCTAGGCCTGGGGTAGCCTGCCACGCTAACCCGGATGCCAGACACGAGTCCAAACTGACAGGAAGGGAGGGAGAAGAGCAAGCTCGTTGTTTCAATAAAGTGACAACTGTTGTTAGGTTCCATCGAGTCATTTCTGACCCATTAGTGACCCTGGGCACAACAGAACAAGACCCTGCCCAGTCCTGCACCACCTGTGCAAATGTCCCGAGGCCTGAGCCCCTAGTTGCAGCCACAGCGTCAGTCCGTCTTGTCGAGGGCTTTTCTCTTTTTCACTGTCCCTCCACTCTGCCAAGGCCTTCTCCAGGGACTGGTCTTTGCTGACATGTCCAAAGTAGGTAAGAGAAAGTCTCACCATCCTTACCTCTAAGGAGCACTCTGGCTGTATTTCTTCCAAGACAGATTAGATGGGCCTCCCGTGATACTTTCAATTCCATGATACTTTCAATATTCTTTGCCAGCACCACAGTTCAGATGCGATTCTTCTTCAGTCTTTCTAATTTAATATCCAGCTCTCCCCTGCATAGGAGGTGATGAGGAATACCGTGGCTTACGAATGTAAAGGGGATGGTGGCCCCTCACAGGTGCAGGGACTGCAGGTAGGGCTTCAGTGGGTGCTGAGGGTCATGTGATGAGGACTGGGTGCAACAGCATGAAAGACCACTGGTCCTGCGCCAGCCTCACAATTGTTGCTATGCTTGAGTCTGTTGCTGTAGCCACTGTGTCACGCCCTGTCCTTGCAACCTTTCCCCCTTTTCACCAAGCCTCTATTTTACCAGCGTGATGTCCAAAGGACATGAGATAAAACCTCGCTGCCATCCCTTCTACGGAGCATCCGGCTGTACTGCCTTCCAGACAGATTTGCTTCTTCTCGTCTTAAGCCCAGGGGAGATCTAGCAGACACGGCAGGCGCAGTGAATTTGATAGCGTGGCTCTTCTAGCCAAAGTCTCTAACACCCACCAAACAGCCTTTTCCTGCATGAGTCTAATGAAGGTGGGGGACAGTACTGATAGGGCTCACCTGTGAGTAATTGTGAACAGGTTGCCCTGGAGAGTCAACCTTCTGCGTATAAAATGAGCCCTCTGAGAAGCAGGGGGAGGGATCTCGTCACCAGCAAGAGCTAGAAGTAGAATGAGTTTCTGGACCTGAGACCGTTGCTCAGTGAGCCTCCTGGATCCAGAGACAGTTACAACATGAGCGCAGCAGGCGCCAGAGGATGGAACAGAATGGCGGACTTCCTAACCTATGGAGCAAGTTAAGATGAGTGCTTTTGTACAGGAGGCAGGTGGAGTGGGATGCCTCTTTGCATGTAATGGAGGAAGCTGGCCTTGTTGCCCCATGGCAGTGGGGCTGAGGTTTACTGGAGTAGAATGTCTCTGGACACTCAATTCAGCGAGCTGGCTTCCTGACCCCTGGAGCTTGAACAGCGTGTCTTCAGTTTGCACCTTCCAGTGGACTGGTCTGCTCCTCTGGGCATTGATTAGCAGACCTGAGAGAATGTTGTACCCTGTCCTGATAAAAGAAGTCTACCCTGAGCATTTCTCCCGGGCATGACAACTTGCTGACCTCCTTAATAACCCTTCCTCATGAGTTTTGTCAGTGTGCCATCGCAGTGGGCATTCGGTCCTAGAAAGGTAAGATGGAGAACGAACATAAAGACAAAACACCAGTGGTCAGTATCAGGGCCCCCAGTGTGACCCACTGAGAACAAACAGCACAGCACCGTGTCTGTGGTGCCTGACAGGAGTTCATGGCCAAGGTTCGTCTCCAAGACGACCAGGGACGCACACAGAGACTTGAGGCCCGTGAGCACTGACTGTGTTAGTCCCAGTAGACTAGAGAAACACATTCATTGACACTCACATATGTGTAAGAGAGAACTTTACATTAAAGAGTAACTGTATTTTGAGAAAACATCCCAGCCCAGTCCAGATCAAGTCCATTAAGTCCAATACCAGTCTATAAATTCCTCTTCAGGCTTACACAACACATGCAATGACGCCAAATGCAAGAGATCACAGGCCAGTGGGTGGAGAGTTGTGTCGATCCAGTGGTGGTGGAAGCATCTCAGTGCTGGTGTGGGTCTCTACGTGACTCCTCCAGCTCCAGGGCTCTGGTTCCATTAGCAAAGCATCATCTGGCTTGTCATCAGGAATGTGAAGCAGAGAGTGTGCCCCATCTCCAGAGAGGAAGACAGGAGTCCCCAGAATCCTCAGGAGAACGCCATGCCCACACACAGGCCTCATTGGCTATCGCCTGATTGACAGGGTAGACTCGACCCCCTCCCTAAAGTTGACAGGAGATTAGGGGACTGCCACACTGACCAGTGCAGCATGTATCCCTGAGAGATTTGGAGCAGATAGGCCAGGATCTGCAGCTGGGACCACTGGTAAAATGAGAACATGCTGGGTGGGGGCGGGGGGTCCTTGTGTGAGGAGGTGCACTCAGAAGCCCAGGTTGATGGGGCATCTTGTTATTAAGTGGAGGTGCCCACTCTGTGTGTGTGTGTGGGGGGGGGGCTGTGTTGTGAGGTGCTAACACTTGGGGACAATCAAGAGGTCTTTGTATTAGCCTCACAGGGGAGAACTGCCCTGTGGGTTTCCAAGACTGTCAACTCTTCACGGGAGTAGAAACCCCCCATCTTTCTTCTGAAGAGGGGCTGGTGGTTCCAAACTGCTGACTTTGTAACAACTGCACCAACTGCCCCATCGATTATGGACATGGAAGGCAACAATGACGCTTTTCAAAGGAGCCAGCTATTCAATTTACATCCGCACCAGCTGAATGACATTGCTGGAGGGGCCGCCAGAGACCACCTGTAGATTGGTCTAAACCATCCCACACTTGCATCTCATTCACTCACTCACTCACTCACTCACTCACTCACTGCCATCCAGTCAATGCGGACTCAGAGCATCCCTGAAGGAGTGGAGTGCCTGGTGGTTTCGAACCATAGACTGCAGATCTTAGCCCAGTGCATAACCACACCACCACCAGGGCTCTTCCTCACTTCCATACACACCTATTTATTTCTGTCTCTGTGGGTGTATACATATGTACCAAACCCAAAAACCAAACTCACTGCCACATCACAATGTCTAACCCACTGCATCACCAGAGCTCCTAGTGGTGTGGTTAGTACCAGTGTTTCTTCCTTTGAATGCCCTCAGTCTGCCCCTCCCACACCCGCCTTTCAGGGCACCATTTGTCACTCATTTGTTAAACAACTGGACTTGTGTGTGCTCATCTACCAACTGTCCTAGGCTCCTAACCACCAGGTCAGCATTAGTTTTGGTTTACGTACTGTGGTATCCACTCTGTGTAGTGCCCAGGTCCTTGTGTCTTGACAGGTGTGTGACCTGGCAAATGTCACTGGTCCATGCCAAGCATCACCTGACACGTGCCTCTGTGTAGTCCCCTGTTGTAGACTGCCTCTCTCTGATGTTTTGCCATTGATGGTATAGTGGCTATGCATTAGGCTGTGATCCAAAAGGACCACAGTTCTAAACTGCCAGGCACTCCTTGAGAGAGAAATGGGCCTTTCTACTCCCCCACACAGTTCAAGTCTTGGAATCCCATTCTCCCCCGTCCAGGGGCCGTTCTCCCCCCTCCTATAGGGTCTCGCTCAGTTCGCATTGACTGCGGCAGTGAGTTTGGCTTTTGTTAGAATGCCTTGTGAATGGCGTGGCACAGCTTTGAGGATCCCTGTTCTTCCACAGAGCGAAAAACACGAGGGCCATCAGGGTGGGCTGCAAGTATCAGCAGCTTGTCCACAGTCTGCAGCTCCCTCTCCCCTAGAAGGGCATCGAGGTGTGTCCAGTGTTCTGTGGGCACGGCTCTGAGGGGGTTCCAGAATCTCATGGGGAAATGCTTGGGCCTCCTCCCTCTGCTCTCCCAGGAGCTCTGACCTCCCTTGCAGAGCTGCTCTGGACGTGGGCGTGCAGGCTTTTGTGCGAGTGGAGACTTTCTGTTCACTTGGGAAGGTGCACGTGGTGAAGAGTCTCAGAGCAGCTATGGTGGCAGTGAGAAAGGCTGGAGGGTGGGTCACAGGATATGTGCCCCAGTCTGCCACTCATCCCTCTGACCCTGGAATGTGTCCTGGCTCCAACAGGCTCAGACACAGACTCACATGGGCTGCCAAGGTTCCTGCCCACTAGGAGACTGCCCTGTCCAGTGGTGCCCTCAGAAATGTGCCCTGTGCACGCACACATACGCCGGTCTTCTGCCCCCCACCCCGTAGGGCTGTGGCTAGTGAGGATGGGCTGGCATTTCCCCCCGAGTAGGTGCAGGGACTGGCACCAGGGGCCTCATTGTTTCCCCTTCTCTTGCTTTGAAGCCAGGGCCGGGACCTGAGGCTGTGCTTGTGGGACCTGGTGGAGGGCCGGCACACTGTCACTGACTCGGTGCTCCTCACTAACGTGAGCTTCTGCAGGAGCGCCGTGCTGGCCGGGGCTCAGCCTCGCTGGATGCTGGCTGTGCCGGGGAGAGGCACTGAGGAGGTGAGCACCCCCCTGCTCCAGGGGAACCCCCCATTAGCTGGGTGATACAGCTGTCCAGTTGTGCAGGTCCTGGGAGCTGACGGCAGTTGCTCTGAGGAGTGGGGCAGTGGAAGCAGGGTTACAGGCCAGGACTTTGAGAATGGCCACCCTGTGTCATGCCTGCCACCCATCCGTAACCTGCAGACCCACTGGCACCGCTGAGCCTCATGAGCAGGGACCCTGGGAAGGGCATCACCACTTGGAGCTGATGCCAGCCGATGCCAGCGGGGCACCCTGTGCATGGGGTTACGTTGGCCCCAGCCCAAGAAGACTCATTCTGTCCTAAAGCAGATTTCGTTCGTAAATAGCAAGACTCAAACAGGCATCTGTTTGTTCACGATTGTGTTTAAATCCCCAATTAGGAGCTACAAGCACTTTTCTTGCCAATTTGCCAAAAACCTGTTAAAAGTTTTATTAATGTGAAAAAGAAAGAAAGGGGGGTGTGTTACCTCTCTGATGGCTCCAGCCACCCAGGCACCCGGGGAGCTGTGGGCGGTGGCCAGCCCGCTCCTGCTCCTGAGACCCAGAAACACCCTACATGGGTCTGGGCGTGGCAGCATGAGACCAGGGGAGTCTGTCTTCCTTCTGAGGCCTGAGACTCCGCCTCTATCAGGGCCGCCTCCAGGTGGTTCCCCAGGATGAATATGGGGCCTTCCCCAGGCTCAGTGCACCAGCCTGCCCTGCATGGGACCCACCCCCTCTATCCTCCTGGCAGGGGCTCTGGTTTCCAGAAGCGAACCTGGGAGGATGGTGGCTCTCCTTTTGCCCATCTAGAATCAGCCTGGACTGGTGCTCAGAAAAGCAACCGTGCCTGGCTAGTGCTTTCTGCCTCCTGTCCCAGCACAGCTGGCTGCATGGCTGGCTGCTCTCCTCTGGGGACAACAGCTGCCACTAGGTATAGGCGGGATGCACAGCCCAGTCTGGGGGAGGCACCGACTCCCTGTCAGCCCAGGGTGCAGGCCACTCTACACTGACTGGGCACCTCATGTCTAGGATGCGCTCATGTGCAGGTACCTGGCTCCCTGCACTCACATTTGGATCTTGCTGCACCCATGCTCTTTCCCACAGCACCCAGCTCAGGGCCCCAGAGCTGCCCTGGGTTTCACCCTTGGATGATGCCCTTGCTGGCCTACCCTTCCCGCCAGCCTCCTGCTCCTCATTACCAGGTCCCACAACCTACGTTTCGCATGTCAATGGTCCATCCCACTCAGCTTCAGCCAGGTGCCCCGTGATCCATCTCTGAGCGCCCCCATATGCTGGGGCGCCTGGGCCCGAGGAGTGGAGAGTTTTTCCCATCGTGTTCTGTGGCTCCCTACCGCCGAGCATTCTCTGGAAGCCTGCCCACCTTCCTGCTGACCCACCACAGTGCTGGGCCTCATTCCCAGAAATCTGGCCAGAGAGAGGTGTGGATCAGTGAGCCCAAGTCTCCCCGCCTGCCCAGAGTGCACCTGGCCTGGGCCAGAGGCACTGCCCAGTGCTGTGGTGTGTGCACAGCTCAGGAGGTCTTGGACCCCAGCCCTCAGACATGTTCACATGTAGGATGGTCAGGGCAACATGGCAGATACCATGTGTGAGGTGGGCCTTGCGGGGCATTCTGGGCTCTGTAGGCGAGGCAGCAGGTGAAGCTATAGCTTTGGGGTGGGGGGACTGGGCGAAGGGGGAGGGGCGTTGAACAAGGCTGTCAGGAGACACAGATGTTCCCGTGGTTCACAGACCCTGGAAAGCGGCTCAGACAGGAGCCTTCACAACCCCTGCATGCGTGGGCCACACAGGCATTCTTTACGCCCCCCAAAGGGTCACCACTCTGTGTTCAAGGAAGCTGAGACAGGGACAGAGATAGGGAGGACCTGGATCCACGTGGCCTCGGCATCTCCAGAAGGCCGTGCCAGGGAGATGCTGTGGCACTTGCAAAGGGGCAACGTAAACACTGTGAGTCCAGAGTGCTGTCAGTGGAGCCACAAAGGGCCGGGTAGTCGGGGCCCCTGCCATGTGTACCCTTTCCGGGTGGCAGTGAGCCATGAGTGTCCCCCATGTGATTCCTAATGCCATAAGATCCACCCCAGAGGGCTCAGAGCTGCTCACCAGGCAGACACGTGCTTGGGGAAGGGGCCATGGGGACAGCCGGCTGGCCGGCCAGCATAAGCCAAGCCTCCTACTTTGTGAAGAGGGCGGGGGCGAGGGCGGGAGGCTGGGGAGTCTGCCAGGAGGGAATGCCGGTCACTCAGGAGCAGTGGGCGTTACGCAAGGGCCCCACAGCTACCCAGCCCACGAGCCTGGGCAGCCTAATTAGAAGCCTGGCTCCCAGGCTGCTTCAGGGAACAGACAGAAACTCACATCAGCCCTGGCTAATCGCCTTAAAAGTCTCTTGTTTGTATAGCACAGGCTCGACTTGGCGTCAGCCCAAGTCAACTTGTTTTCTTCCTGTCAGGTTGAGATTCTGGAGATGCCATCCAAGACGTCAGTGTGTACCCTGAAGCCAGAGGCGGGTGCCAAGCCGGGCATGCCCATGTGCCTGAAGCTGTGGCAGGTAGGACCGTTCGGGCGCTCAGGACACGCCCTGCAGGCCACGCCCCCCATGGCCCTGAGTCACGCGCGCCTGGGCGGATCGGCTGTCACACCAGTGAGGCTGTCACCCCTCTCCACTGCAGTGTTCCACCTGCCTTGAGGGGATCGAGCCAGCCAAGGGTCCTTGTCATCCGGGAGGACACCCTGCCGGGGCATTTGGCCTCACCTGCTCCCAGGGAGGGGTCTCTCTGGGGGTCCGTGGATCCCACACTGCATGCAGCTGGGAGGGAAGCGTATTGAAT